TATCATAACTTCTGCCTTTATTTTATTGCACTTACATCATCAAATTAATGTTTGAACAAATTTTTAAACTTTTTAATAACATTGTTTTGGTAAAGAAATAAAACTACTTTGTTTCATAATTTGCAAAGCATTTTCATTTTCAGATTCATGATTCAAATAATCAATTCAATATTTTTTCCCTTTCTAATCATCATTGCATCCATACCTGACTGCTGTTAGCATCTGTCATTATGGCACCAAGCATCATAAAAGATGAAAAAGTAAAAATAAAAAACACCAACATACATCCTTTTAGCAAAAAGATGTGGTTTGTGTTCTTCTTGTTGAATAACTAAGTGGATGTGAGCAATTTTCATATATCTGTGTGTGTATGTATATATAAGCTTTCAGAGCCATAAGGTTTCTGTCATGATTTCTCAAGTCTGCTGTTGTAAAGTAAAAGCAGCCATAGACAATATATAAATCAATAGGTACGACTGTTTCAATAAACTCTGAATAGAGTAATATATTTGTAGATTGTGGGCTCAAGTTAAAAGGTTCATACACAGGTTAAAAAAACTTCAAGGCTTCAATGATTTTTCACTGTAGTGAAAAAACTGAGTTATTTTTTGAACACATATCTTTTTAAGAATAGGACAACTTCAATACTTGCTTTCTTTTGGAAATTTTTAACATTACTAATGTTTTATTATGACGTCACGATGATAAGAGTCCCAAGGCTTTGAAGAAGAAACAGGTGAGAAAATCTTCAAGCAATCTAGTTTCATCTTTGAAATCAGCATGGGTCAGTCATTTCTTCTCTGTAGGTGTGCAGAAACCTGGAAACTTTTCAACTGTAAGAATCAAATGGGTGGCTCAAAAAACAAGAATAGCCCTTATGCTGCAAGATTCTACAAGTCTGGTCCTAGTCACAAAAGAGAATTAATGTTAACTAGCAGATATTAAGATTGATAAGGACCCAAAGATATCATGTTGCTGGTATGTATGTTTTTGGTAGGAACTGAGCCCAGGATCTCATGCACGTTAGGGTAAGCACTCTGCCATTGAGCTTATATCCCCAGGACTGTTTTTTTGCTTGTTTTGAGAAAGGGGTCACCCTATATTGCTCAGCCTGATCACAAATTCATAGCTTAAACAATCTTCCCACTTCAGCCTCCCTGGACTACAAGCCTGTGCCATCACACACAGCCCAAAAGCTGCTGCTTTTCATTTTCTTCTTTTTCCTGCTTGTTTGTTTTCACCATGGAGCTTCTGAAGACACTGAAGGCATTCCATAAGGTCTTATTAAAATTTCTATATTGCATGATTTGACATGCATATAAAAAAGTGCCCTACATATAATTTATTAGCAATAGTCTTAGATTAGTATTTTCTGCTAAAGGCAATTCTATTTTCCCTATGTATTTAAGGTCATCTATTAATCCTGGGTAATATTAAGACTGAAGGAAAAAAAATGCAGTGTTGGGATTAGGACTAAGTTTGTGAAATGTGATAAAACTTGGGGAAATTGTTACAAATGCAAAAGCCAATGTGCAAAAACTAAACAACTTTGTATTACATGGGATTTATGCAATAATGGCCTAATCGGCCTAAGAATAGTCCTAAAAGAGGAATGACTGGAACGGGGTCGGTAAGTACTGTTTTGCTCTGCCTCTCTCCCTTTTTAAGTTTTACTTTGAGACAGAGTCTAACTAAATTGTTCAGGCTAACTTCAAATTTACATTACTCCTACCTCCTAGCCTTCCAAGTAGCTAGGATTACTGGCATGTGTCATAGTGACCAAACTGGAATGTAATTTTAACTAAATAAACAAATTTGGTTTCATTAATCTCCCTGAAAAGTTTGGCTTATAGTACAAAATGGTTTGAAAGACAATTATAAATGAAGAGCAAAAATCCCGTAGTATAATTTCAATGCCATCCAGGGAACATCAAGGGTCATGAACTTCAAACTAGTTCATTTTATCAATCACACCCCCCAATTATCTCACTAGTAAAGACGCACACTATTAGAGACTAATCCTCTTAGCTAATAGGATCAATTAACTCCCCCAATACTCTGAAACTTTTCGTCTTCACAAACCTCTTTTTTTTTTTTTTTTTAATTAAGGACTATACAGGGCTTCCCATGAAGAATTCTTTCCAGTAAACAAAGATGACAAAAGCAGGGTGCCAGCTCCTTTAGAAGTTAGGTTTCTTAACAGACATTTGGGTTTACATTGTTTCTTGTTTATTAGTCACCTCTCAATGATTTTCATTACCCTTAAAAGCATTTTTAAAAATGAGATCCAAGGGCCTGGGGCTGTAGCTCAGCGGTAGAGTGCTTGCCTAGCACATGCAAGACCTGGGGTTCTATCCTCAGCATCACATTAAAATAAATAAATAAATAAAATAAAGGTATTAAAAAAAAAGAGATCTAGGCTTTCAAAAAATTTTCTCAAACTATGGTACTTTGACTACCTGCATCAGAATCACTTAAAATTTAAAAAACAAGTTCAAGGCTTTCAAAAGTATTTCTCAAATTATAGTACTTTGACTATGAATAATCTTGGGCTGAATCAAAATCAGGTAGATTTTATATAGAGGTAGATTTTCATTTTTATTTTTTTGTGGTGCTGGCAATAGAACCCAGGGCCTCAAATTGGAGTGCTAGGTGACTGCTCTTCCACTGAGCTATATCCTGAGTCCCCAGGAGATTCTTAGCTCATACCAAAATAAGAATTACTGCTACAATCTGCTTATTATTATGCCAACCTTAGACTGGATTAAATTTCAATTTACGAAAAACAAAAATCTGCAGTATAAAATGTTTTATCAATCTATCCAGTAAGAGAACTCTTATGGTAGACTACTTACAGTGCTCCATTATTTATTTTTATTTTTTCTAAAAATCAATCTAGTTTCAAATGAAGAACTGAGGCAGTTTGCAACAAAATTAAACATGAGACATCGAAATATTAATAAATAAACAGGTATAAACAACAATAATTATGCCCCAAACCAGTAGACAATACCATAAAACAACCAATCATCTATATAGCTATGAGGTTTTTAGTAAACAGGGCAAAACAAATATAAGAAAATAAAATGAGATCATTACCATATGATACAAGGCTACATTGCCAATTTTATTTTAGTCTAATGGATAATTTCAATAACTTTCTTCATGTGAAAACTTTCATAGCAACTGTAAAAAGGGCCAGGATATAATTTCACAGGCATTTCCTCAGAAAGAAGATAATGAGGCAATCTTTCTTGCTATCTAAATTAATCAATGCAGTGCTGATTTGGAGAGAAGTCAAAGTTTGAGAGAATGACTGGCCTATCTTTCCATCTAGCCAATGTTTCAAGCACAATTTTAACTGTTTTTGAATGTCAATTCAAAACATTCGGTAAAGAGGTTAAATAGTAGAGAATTTCATCATAGAATAACAATACAATCATCCCAACCTTATCAGAGCTTAATCATCTTGGCACTGCTTCTCTGAAACAGATTTTTAACTATTCTCTAGCCATATGCTATAATATACATATTTGCTATAAATATAATTATGCTTACTTTAAAACTAATCACCAGGAGTCTCATTGCATTAGCCTATCAAATGAGGTTGACTATATTCTCCACTTGATCATTGGCTCAAAATAAGGACCTTCATCTTGGCAGAGTTGTTGCTTAGTTTTCTGCCATAAAAACAGCAGTTTTGCTCATTCCTGAATAGTGAATAGTGAATTCATGTCATCAGTAAAGACTTTAAGATACTGATCTTCCTATTTGCTAGCATAGAATTAACTACCTATCAGGCATACCTAAAAGCCATATGAAATTATCTAACTGGAAGTAGAAAAGGAGGCAAGGCAATAATTACAAAAAAATACCATCACATTCCTTTTGATATTAAGCAAGTTATTACTTCAGATGACAACTGCTACTCATTCTGTTCATAAATGCAAAATCGGGCCAACTTTTAAACAACAGTAAGTCAGAGTCCATGCCAAGTTCATAAAATTCTGTTTCTACTCTCTCAAGAGATGACACATCAATACATGCTACGAAAAGTCTAATAATCTTAACTGTTTTCCAAAGAACAAACAACATATATTGATGAAATGAGTAAAAAGTACATTTTTCTCATGCAAGAATTGAGAATGCTACAGATAAACATTTCCACGTGATATCTAGTAAACCTTGTAATTTGAAGAAAAAAGTTGATTGTTCTGCAAAACCAGGTTGACTATACTTTGTGTCAATGTGAGCATGAGCCTTAAAGAAGTCGACTGAAGACTTTAGCAAGGACTGGGGATGGGGAATTATATGATGAACTTCAAGTGCCAATCTGGAGTGAAAAGTCATATAATTTTACTTAGAGTGATCAAATACAATGAATTACAATAAATAGTAATAAAATAGGTAAAAGTTCTGAACTTTATCAAAATCATTTTTGTGGAGATAAAGAAATGCAACATAAATAACCTTGTTCTCTAGAAATCTATAAACCATGTCATTTTATAAGACACTGCAGAAACTCGGGCCTGACTCTTCTTGTAAGTAACCTGTATAAATATAGACTAAAATTTTTACTTTTTTTAAAATAAAGAAATTGTTTATAAGAACATTTTAATTTGAATTCCTCTGGGGTCTGCTTATGATATTATTTATCTTGGCTAAATTTGTGGGGAAGTTTTCTTGCTTGTTACTAAATTCCTGAGAAAACATATGGGGAACTTCTTCCAAAAGATAACTTTAAAACGCTAAGAATTTGCTGGATTTTAGTCACAGTTATATTCAAAATATTTTACACACACTGATGATCCTTTATAAAATTATAAAAAATAAAAACAAAATCTAAAAACATTTATCACAAGCATATACAAATAAAAAGTTAACAGAATCAACTTTAATTGATATGAGAATAATATTAAGTATTTTACCCCAAAGTTTGTACAATTTAACATGAAAACACAAACAGCAACTGAAAACCAAATCAAGTGAGAAGTTCATACCTAATAGTCCAGTATGTACATCATCTTCATTTTTCAAATTCTCAGCATGCAATTCTGTAAAAACAAAAAGAGGTTTAGGTAGAAAAGATTCATAATCTGAAGACTAATTCAAAGGCTTGGAAGACATTGTAGAACTCCATAAAGTGCTCTGGAGTCAGGAATGGATTCAAATTTTGATTCTGTTTACTAGCTACATGATCATCAGCAAGCAAAGAAGACCTCCATACCGTCAACTGCCATACATATGACAGTGGTGTTCATATCCTGTGGTTGTTGTGATACCATTTTATACAAATTTAAGGACATACTAAATTTTTTCAGTTCCTTTCTCCATTCTCCAAAGTATAAACATCTTCTGCAATGATCTTCTACTTACCACAGTTTTGCCTTTACAAAAGTGATATCTCAGAGCAAAGCAATAAAATAGCTAAAAGACAAAACTATCCGGGTTATAGTAAAAAAAGGGGAAGGGAGTGATACAGGAATTAAACTGTGAGCCAGGAGAGGTGGCCCACACCTGTAATCCAAGCTACTCCACAGGCTGAGGCAGGAGGATCCCAAGTTCATGGCTATCTCAAAAAACAATTATGGCTAGGGATGTAGTTCAAAGGTAAAGTACCCCTGGGTTCAATCTGCCAGAACCCCTACAAAAGAAATGAAACAATGGCAGCCAAACATTTAAGATTGACAGTTTAAATACAATACTGTTATGAGGAGGTAAATTTCACACATTAACTTGCAAATCTTGTCTTCTGTATGAAAATCAAGCATGGTAAGCTGTTATAGGCCATCTGGAGCCCATTACCAGCTGGTCCAAAATGATAGTGTTGAGTGGTTGAGTGGTTTTCATAAAACGAAGATTTTTTTGTTTTACTTTTTTTTTTTTTTCCAGTAATTTGGACAAAGTCATACAATAATAAGAATTGGGATCTAAACTCAAATTTTATTCTTTTCACTGTAATACACAAGATCCAAACAAATAATACATTTATGAAAGCCCCCTTGGGGGAAAAAAAAACTTTCACAAGTCTATTTTTATTCCAATATGGCTAATATTTTAACTTGAGACAAAGAAGATAAAATTAGTGAAAAACAAGACTACACCTCCTGCAATAAAACTTTGCATACAAATGGCCAATGCCTACCCTTAATACCTACTACTCAGGAGGACTGCAAATTGGAGACCAGCAGGGGCACCACAGTGAGACCAAGTCTCACAACAAAACCAAGATATACTTTGTGTACTAAATCTAGTTACAAACACCACAAAATTAAGAAAGGCTAGTTATTTTACCTATAAAAGTAGAAATCTGAGCTGTGGGATGGAAATCCTAGACCTTGAAGAATCTTCAATGTACCCAGGAATAAATCCATTTGTGGATCAAAGCCTTTGAATATATACAGACTATTTCAATTACATGCATTTTACACTGTCTCCTTTTAATGGTGGGTATTCTCCGAAATATGGCTTAAATAATCGTGCTAGTATTTGACTCCATGGGTCCAATGACTTAAAGGTATTTCAATAGAACTCATTTGATTAAAAGACCCTTTCTTAAAAACAGTTCTCGTTATGGACGAGGGAAATCCATTTAGGAAGAGAAGACAAAGGGGAGAAGCAAAGAATGGTACAAATCAGTGGTAGGAGTGAAAGAGACTGCCAGCTTGCTGGTTGGGAGCCAGGTAAGGTGTGGGTGGAGGTGAGAACCAAGCCCTGGCTCAACTTCGCTCTGGACAGACTTTCAAGGTCTGGGCATCAGTACCTTTAACGATCAGGTAGGCGATGGCGAGGAGGAAAGCGAGGAGGATGGCGAACAGCAGCGAGCAGAGAATAGACAGGACCTGGATCGGCCATCGCCGAGCCTGGGCCCGGCTACGCGTAGCTGCGGGGAAAATGCCATTGCGTTTATCGGGTAGGACGGGCGACCCATCCCCGTCCGGCGGGAGAAGCTGGGGGCCCCTTCTGGGCTCCAACGACGCCCCGGCTGAGAACTCCGCTCGCAAGTCACGGGCCACTTGATCGCATCCTTCCACCTCATCAACTTCGCCTTCACCCCAGCTGTTCCCCTGAGAGAATACAGAATACACAGGCCGAGAGAAAGGTGCTGGGGTGCCAAGACCGCGACGCCGCGGAGCCGAACGCCTGCCGCTCTCCACAAACGACATGGCGGGAAATAACCACAGAACGGCGGGGGCCCAGAGTTTCCCACAGCCCCGCCCCTCCCTCGTCTTCGCCAATCAGCAGCCAGGCTACGCCACGGCCTCGACCACTTAGCTCAGGGGCTCAGGGGTACTAAAGGATGGGCTGTGGAGCCAATAAGGAACCACGGAGCAGGAGGCGAGGCTGTGCCATCCGAGACAGGAGCTCTACCCCGCTGCAATAGGCGGGAAGGGATACAGAATTGTGGGTAGGGAAAGTCAAGCCGAGGCCGGCTGCAGACAAGTCACCCTTCCCTGCAGCGTTTCGTCCCGGCCAAAGACCTCTGGCACTGCTGCGTTGCCTCCAGGCAAGCGCGAACCCCGGCAGCCCCAAAGCCGCATCTTCTTGACGCCGGGTCCTAGCGCCCGCCCATACCACTCTGATACACATTTCTAACCTATTTGCTTTCTCCCTTCTTCCCCTCTACGCTCACACTCTTCTTTAGCCTCCCTGCTAACAGGAGCTCACCGCCAGGCGCGCTCGCTCCGCCTTATCGACCCACCTCTTTCTGCCTTTCGCGTTGTTCCACCCGCCCCTATCCACAACTTCCCTCCACGCTACTCGACACGCCTTCTTCCCCCGTCCGCCTCGGCACGCGCTCAGCAGCCGGTGCCTCTGAGCTCGAACTCTCCCTGGACGACTCCTCGCGCCTTCCCCGCCCCTCCCCTTTGCTTCCAGCAAGGCGCGCGCTCGCGCGCTCCCGGCCCCAGCCACCGCTAACGCTAGAAACTGCATACCCCGCCCCCACCCCACCCTACCCTATCCCTGGCGGCCTCAGGTTAGTGGGGCGTGAGTAACTTGGGCGGGGGGGTGAAAGGTGGCAAGCCCCCACTGCCCCACCCCCTACGGGGTGAGGCGGTCTAAGCCCGGGAAGCTGGGACGCGGTTGTCTTCCCTTTCCCGGGGGAAGTTGGTGGAGTTTTCCCGGCAGAGGACTCGGCGCAGAAACTTCCTCCGTCCCCTTCCCCCCCCCTCCATGCAGGCGACGCCGAGTGAGGCTGAGGCTGGGGGCGAATCGCCGCAGAGCTGCGTGTCGGAAGCGCGCTCTGATTGGACAGTGGGGAAGCCTGTCAGCTTATTGGCCCCACTGATCCCGCCCCGCAGCTCAGGGCAGCCTTTAACCTTTGGCCCCAGCGGGCGCCAGCCACTCAGATCGCTTCTTGTTGGTATGTGTAGCGGCAGTGGCCGCCGGCGGAGCAGTCTGAGCCCGACGATGAGGCCGGGGACGGGAGCTGAGCGTGGAGGCCTCATGGTGAGTGAAATGGAGAGCCATCTTCCCTCGCGGGGTCCCGGGGACGGGGAGCGGAGATTGTCCGGCTCAAGCCTGTGCTCCAGCTCTTGGGTCTCTGCTGACGGCTTCCTGAGGAGACGGCCTTCGGTAAGGGATCGGTGGGGCAGGGGGAAGCGGCACAATGAAAAACGGAGTCAGAGACAGGAAGCTTTCTCCAAAAGGAGAAGAAGATAAGAGTGGACGAAGGAAGCGCTCGAGATGGTGGGATATGTCTCGAGGGAGAGAAACGGAGAGCGGGGATGCACAAAAGAAGGATGTAGGACCCTGGAAGTTCCCAGTCGGCTTGGCCTAGACAGATGCGCGCTGAAGGTGTTGAACCCTGGGCGTGCTGCGTCTTGGAGCTATAGGCCCGTTTTAGTAAGGAAATTTGATTCTCTAAGACTTTAAAAGAAGCTAGCAAAATTTGTTTTCTCTAGTAGTGGTGGTGATATGCAGGGGGTACTGCTTGATTAATTGGCAGGGGATAATTACCTGGAACAATGGACACGTCTGTAACGAAAGTTGTCTTTTAAAAGTGCATTAAAGTGGGTGAATTATTGTTTGCACTTAGTGTCTGAGTGACAGAATATTAAGTCTTTGAAACTGTGTTTTGGCAAATGGAATTTTACCTGTCTTAAAAGTTAGGTTAGTAACTGTTAGTAGACAGGTGTCTCTGGGGACCCACACTTTTGTGTTTTATAAGACCAGCCCTCCTTTAAATGAATTTGGTAAATTAAGCATTTTAAAGTCAGTAGTGCTTAAAAAAGTGTCAGCTGTCTTTTATGTCTGTTTGAAATAGGACAAAGTTCAGGTTTTCACCAACAGTTTTTAAGTTGGCTTTATACATATACGTACGTATACATACGAATATACATATATGTATGTGTGTGTGTATATATATATATATATGTATAATCTTCCAAGCTGAGCAAATCAGTAGCTGATTAAATTAGAGCAAAACAACTGATCTAGCTGTCCAATAATTATTTAATTTGCAAGCTTCTCAAATACTAGTGTGGTGCTTTTTTTTTTTTAATAGGAAAGTATAAACTAATACAATAATTTGGGCACAAATTAGCCTAATATTATGTACTGAAGGTAAGTGATTTGTTGAAGTGAAATTTTTTTTGAGAATCATTTAATGTGAATTGCCAAGTTTTAAATTTTCTCTTTTTCAGATGGGGCACCCTGGCATGCATTATGCACCAATGGGAATGCACCCTATGGGTCAGAGAGCCAATATGCCTCCTGTACCTCATGGAATGATGCCACAAATGATGCCCCCTATGGGAGGGCCACCAATGGGACAAGTAAGAATGTTATGTTTTTATTTTGTTTGGTTTTGTCTATAGTTTTGCCTCAGGTATTGTTGTGTTAAAATCTCAAACTCTAGGTCAATACTGTGCTTGTAGCTATTTAAGGATTAGTTGATGCCCAAATAATGTTTTTAAATAAGACTAATGTTGAATCATGACTGTAACTAAATTTTGAATGTAATGAAAGTCTTCTGTATAAAACCTTTTACTTTTACTACTTCAATAAAATTAAAGAGTTTTTTTTTTTAAATTTAAAAGTCACAGCACATATCTAGTTTTTTAACTTAATGACTATAAAGCATGTCAATTGAAGTTAATGTTCTAAAAGTAAATATTATCTGATATATGTCAGCATAACTAACTTTGTTGGGCCATGTAAATGCATAGAATCAGAAAATATTGCTTATACTTTAGGCTTAAAATAAATTTTATTCTAGAAATATCTTCCTCTTTGTGTGTAGGGGTGGGGGTAGGGAGATTTAACGCTCTATTTATTCTGATTCTTCATAGGACAATGTCAAATCAATAGTTGATTTTCTAGTAACACTATTTTATTTTTTTAAAAAAAATGTTTATTGCTTCTGCACTCCTACTTAGTGAGCTGCCCCTTCCATCTCTAGCATAAACTGTAAATGGACATTTTGAGGGAGTTGATATGAATCAAAAGGTTATCATGCTGACTCGGATACTTTGGTAGAACTGAATTTCTAGAGAAATCCAAGAAAGGCAACAGGTTCACTTATCATAGAATAATTGTGTGCCCTATGCTAGGTTCTATAATACAGAGACACTTAGGTGGCTGGGTTATTTCTATTTGAGTATCTTGATAAGTAATGAAAATTTTAGGCTAGCAAAAATTTCAGAAATTATGTATGATCTTGTGCTAATGAGTACTCTTTGCTTTGATTATTGTTTAAGCCTTGATGGATAAAGTTTTTGGTGAAATTTCAGTGGAAAAAGGAGCTTGCTGTAACTCTTTTTACTTAACCTTATGAGTAGAAGGGCTGAATGTCAAGTGGTTTTCTTCTTTTATATTTGGAATATAGCCCTTAATTTTGTATAAAAATCTTTACTCAGAAGTATCAGACCTAAAAGATTCTGCCTGCAGGAGGAGTTCTTTATATAAAAGACTCTTTTATTCTGTTATTCCAGAATAACACAAATTTTAAAACTGCCTAGGAGATGCAGAGACAACTCTTGGTTCCTCTTCTGTTTCTTTCCATCTCTAAGCAGCAAGGAGCTGCTCTTGTTTTCTTTATAGAGCTGCTCTAACTAGATAATGAGCTTTTAAAAAATATTTATTCTTTAAATGCTCTGGTTCTTATTTAAAATTAGTTTCTTTCCACAGAAAGATAAAATAAAACAATTTGCTACTGCCAGATGCTTCTCTCTTTTCTGGGGCCTTCTGTTTCCATTGGGCCAGTCAAGGTAAGTTTTGCAAGGGATTGACCTGCTTACCCTTGCTGTCATGGTGCTGTTGCACTATCAAAGCCAAGATACCAGCTAGTCATTTTTAATAAAATGCAGATTTTATTTTTTAAAGTAGTTTCATGTATCTCATTGACATAAGCTGGTCACAATTTATTTTATGGCCCTTTCTTTTTAGCTGCATTAGTGACCATCTTTCTAGTAAGTTAACTTGCTACTCAGTGTACATCAGTTCAGAGACTGAATTTTGCCTTGTGGTTTTCTTCTGCATTTTTTTCTAGGCCAGTGTATGCCATGTGCCTTTAAGTATACCTGATTATTTAGAGGCTTAGAATTCTTTCTCCCTGTGTTGGCTCATGTTAGGATAATGAATGAATGTTTTAGGAGTCTAGTTCTGAGGTTCCCAAGAGTTTCCCTTGTTGTCTCAAATTTAGATCATCCCCTTTTGACCTAATGTCTAACAAGTTTGGGTCCCAATTATTGATTGGTAAAGCTAATTCTTATTTTAGCTTTATTAGCACATGTGATAATTCTGGGAAGCATGGATAATTTCAATCCTCAATAATTGAAGAATCTTATTTAAAGCTCTGGTGAACATGCCCTTAAAAATGAAAGTTAATAATAACAAAATTTATTCTTGCTGCATCATTTTTTCTCTCTACACATTCTAAGAAATATTAATGAAAAAGTAAGTAGTGAGAAGATAACTGAAAAGAAGCAGGGTGCCCCTGTCAGTCACAGCAGTGATGGTAGGGTTCTGCCATCCAATCTTAAAGTTAATTTACACATTACATAAAAGACTTGGGACTCTTGGTTATGGAACCTTGATGTGCAGTTTGCAGTTGGTCTTCCATAACCTCCAGATTCCACATCTGTGGATTCAGCCTACTTTGGGTTGAAAACATTAAAAGCATAAATTGTATCTATACAAAACGTGTACAGGCTTTTTTTTTTTTTTTGTCACTATTTCCCTAAACAACATAACAACTATATAGGTGTAACACATATGTCTTATTAGTTATTAGAATAATCTAGAGGTGATTTCAAGTATACTGGAAGATGTGCATAGGTTATATGCAAGTACGGTGCCATTTTTTGTATAAGGGACTTGAGCATCTGTAGATTTTGGTGTCTGTGGAGTGTCCTCGAACCAGTCCCTTTTAAATACTGAGGAACAACTGTATTGACCACATCTTTCATTAAGATCTCTTGCTGGGACCAGCTGAAGATTTAAAAGTCTTTCTTGCCAAATGATTATGGTCTTTGGAATGTTACTGAATGACATGAAATTTTAAGGTGCGTTTGTAAAATAACATAGAGAGGATAGAGTAATGATCTAAGAAGTCAATTAACAACTTTTGAAATGCAACAAGTTGATTTAAAGAAGTTATATGTTGCTGCTGCCTATAATCCCAGGTACTTGGGAGGCTGAGGCAGGAGGATTATAAATTCAAAGCCAGCCTC